TTTATAACATGGATGAATTTGGAGAAATTAAGCCAAGTATAAAAGAGTAAATTAACTCAAGTATAAAAGAACATTGTATAAAACCACTTTTATAAAAATACAAAAATTATATACACAGAAATCAATATTCTTTGGTGAGTATCAGGGACAGGTGGAGGGGGGAGAGGAAAATCACTATTTAGACATTTTATTCTTTTTGGTGATGGGAAAGGCAATACCAAATGTCAGTAAAGTTTGCACAAGGTAAATGATGACAACAAAAAATCCCCAAGATAAGGGAGCTTACTGGTAAATTCTATAACATAGACAACTTGGCAACAACAGCAAAAACAACCAAAAATATGAGTAGTTACATAGGTAAACATCTATGCATATGTGTGCATACCAAAGTATATGTGTATGTTCATACATGTGTATACATCTGTAGGCATATATTTAAAGGTAAGTAAAAAATATTGCTATAAAATCCTAGAAATCTTTCTTAAAAATATCAAAAATGTGAAGCTATTGTTTCTTAGCGTATCTACCATCTAGGTCTATCTATACTCTGAAGGCAGTGTTTCCATCTCCATAAAGGATTCTGCACTCTTTCATTTACACCACAGGTAAGTGAAGTTTTGGTATATTCAAGATGGTCACTTTGCATCTGGCCTGCTATTCACCAGTCAGTCTCCCTCTCTCGCCATCCCTGCTCAGCTTCCCCTTCCAGCAAGCACTCAATCCACTTCTCTAACCTTTCCTCTGAAGTTCAGCATTCCAGGATTTTCATCTGTGTCTGTTTCATTTGGTCTCTTGAATCTTCATTGTAGAGACTCCGTGTGGTGCGTCTGCCTAGTCCACCATCTTGCCAGAAGTCCCCCAAATTCTCATTCTTAAGAAAAAAAGGGAAAAAAGTCTTATTAGACTGAGACTGTAGCCCTAAGATACCCTTTAAACTCTGAACTGAAACTATCCCTGGAGGTCACCTTTTAGCTAAATAATAGGTTGTCTAATAAAATAAATAATATCACCTATGAGTACTGGGATCCTTTTAAAAAATCATCTATATGGTTAACATTTACCTAAACCAATGGGAAGGACAGGGTGGTGGGGAGAGGCAGGTAGAGAAGCTGGACTAATAGAAGCTGAAGGACCAGAACAGAAATCATGAAAATATTGATACAATTTGGAAAATGTGTCCAATGTCCCTGAACAATGTGAATGTTGTTGTTAAGTGCCTTCAAGTCGATTCTGACACACAGCAAGCCTGTACAGGGTTTCTGAGAAGCCGCAAATGAGTTTGAAACCACTGACCTTGTAGTTAGCAGCCCAGTGCTTATCCTACAGCACCACACCAGGACTCCAATATGTATGCTGTTGTTAAAGGCTGTCAAATCAGTTTCCTAGGAGCAACTGGTGAGGTTGAACCACCAACCTTGAGGTTCAAACCGATTTTGTAGTTCAATGCATTAACCCTCAATGCCATACCAGGACTCCCCAGTATGTATGTTGTTGTTGTTAAGGACCATTGAGTCGGTTCCGACCCATAGTGATCCTGTATAGGGTTTCTGAGGAGCAGCTGGTGAGCTTGAACCACTGACTTTGTAGTTCAGACAGCTTTGAAGTCTGGCGCATTTACCCACAATGCCATACCAGGACTCCCCCAGTATGTATAGAAATTGTTAAATAGAACTAATTTGCTGTGCAAAATTTCACCAAAATATCGATACAATATTTTCCTTAATCACATAGAAAAGGGCCTGCATACAGAGAAGATTGGAGTCCTAGTGTGGCATATACAGGGTTGCAATGGGTCGGAGCTGACTCAACAGCACTTAACAACAACAACATAGAAAATATTAAAGAATGGTAAATATTTCAATTATTACCAAAAGATCGCATAGTCATGCAGCTCTAAGCATGGTAGGTTAACCACACCAGCTGTTTTCAAGTCAATACTGACTCATTGTGACCCCATGTGTGTCAGACTGGAACTCTGCTTCATAGAGTTTTCAATGGCTGACTTTTTTTCAGTAGTAGATAACCAGACATTTCCTCTGAAGTACCTCTGGGTGTACTCAGTTAGCAGCTGTTCCACATGTACCTCCTAACCATCCATACAGAACCCTTCAAAGAAGCTATGGAAAGACAGATATTCTGAGAGTTTTCAGAAAGAGGTATGGTAGTCAGTTAAAGGATACTTTTGCAACACTTAAACCATTGTTAGGATTTTAAATATACCTTCTAAAACATAGGAGATTATGAAAACCTTTCATGAAAAGAGACAGAAGACATCAGAAACAGTGCAGACATTGGGGAGGAAATGTAAGAAACCAAAATCATTATACAAAATCAAGACCAAGTATCAGTTATCACAACAACTATGAATGAGAGGCAGACAATGAAGGAAATCCAAAGTGTTTGCCTTTGATGGCCTCTGATTGAAGAGGCAAACTTCATAGATTTTTCTCAATCCAGCTCCTTCTGTCTTATAAATAGTAGGAATCTCTCCCAGACTCTGGCTTTCATCTTAAATGATAAGTTTCCTCCATTTTCCATGTGTCCACACAAGCATAGTGATTACAAGTTGGGCTGCTAACCTCAAGATCAGCAGTTTGAAACTACCAGTCATTCCATGGGAGTAAGAGGAGGCTTTCTGCTTCTGTAAAGATTTATAGCCTCGGAAACCCTATGCAGGGTTGCTGTGAGGAACTGACTCCACAGCACACAACCACCACCACCCCCATAAGGGTTTGAGTAGGATGCTGGAGAGGCTACATCAGAGGCCACTGGCCAGATGCCGCTTTCCGAGCATGGCATCCTTACCTCAGCCCCTCTGAAGCCCCAAGCCCTTCCTGTGACTCCCACGTCTTCCCCTGCCCTACCATACTCTACCTGGGCTGGGGGTAATTCTGAAAAGGCCTTCACAGCTCATATCTGGATGTCATGCATGCAATTCTGAATCCCGACAGCCTCTAGAACAAAGTTCTGTCTATACAATCAGTTGCCATGAAGTCAGTTCCAACAGACGGTGATCCCATGGGTGTCTGTGATCCCCATGTAGAACTGTGATCCACAGGGTTTTTCAATATTAATTTTTTGGAAGTGGATTGCCAGGCCTTTCTTCCAAGTGTCTCTTGTTGTTGTTGTCAGGTGCCATCGAGTCGGAACCAACTCATAGCGACCCCATGCACAGCAGAACGAAACAATGTCCAATCCTGAGCCAACTTCACTTCCGCTGCCACACTTGACGCCATCAATGATGCCACCTGGCTAATCCATCTCGTTGGGGGTCTTCCTCTTTTTCTCTGACCCTCCACCTTACCCAGCATGACATCCTTCTCCAGCGACTGTTCCCTCCTGACAATATGTCCAACGTATGAGAGACGAAGTTTAGCCATCTTGGCCTCTAAGGAGCACTCTGGCTGTACTTCTTCCAAGACAGATCTATTGGTTCTTTTGGCAGCCCATAGCACTTTTAGTATTCTCCTCCAACACCACAATTCAAAGGCATCAATTCTTCTACGATCTTTCTTATTCACTGTCCAGCTTTCACATCCATATGAGGTTATTGAAAAGATGCCTCTGGGTAGACTCAAACTTCCAGCCTTTCAGTGATAGCCAATCATATTAACTATTTGCACCACCCAGGCATTTATACTTGAACGATAGAATCCTTGACTTCCATGTAGGCAACCCAGGTTCAGTTCCTCCCCAACGCACCTTATGCCTAGCTACCATGGATCTGTCAGTGGAAGCGTATGTGTGGCTATGATGCTGAGCAGGTTTCAGTTAAGCTTCCAGACAAAGAAGAGCTAGGAATAAAGGTCGGACAATCTACTTCCAAAATTCAGTCAGTGAAAACCCCATGGATGACAATGATCCAATCCCCAACCAATCATAGGGATAGGTGCTGCAGGACGGAGTAGTACTTTGTTCCATGAACTGGGAGCCAGCGCAATGAAAGCTAACAACAACAGAGGCTGCAGACAGTTCAGAGAGCCCTACTCTTAGGGAGGGCTTACTGACTCAATCTCTGCATCCATCAAAAGTGTCCAAGAAACCAGCAGCCTTCAAGCATAGCTGGATCTGTAAATTCAGACGATGGTATCAGGTCTAGTCTTTGTCCATCTTTCAATTTTCCTTTTCTCTGTATTGACTTTACTCTTAAAACAGGCCCTCCTACATGGTGACAAGATGCCACCAGCAATATCAGCACTCCAAAAAAAAACAAAGGTTTGTGGGTTTTTTAACCTCAGAATGCCAACAAAAAAACAGAAACTGAAACTGGCTTGGGTCATATGGCCATTGCTGAATCAAACATGGAGGCCAGGGCTTGAGAGGCTCTGATCTATTCGGTCTCTTCATGAGCCCATCCTGAGAAACAGGTGGCAGGTTAGATAGAGAAATATTGAGATGCTTCCTACCAGAAGAAGTGACTGTTGTGAGGGGCAATGATTGCCCACTACCATCTTCTTAGTATCTTCTCAGAAAGAACCCTATCTGGGTGACAACTAATAACCAGAAAGGACACCATACATGTGCTCAGTGTTTTATAGTTCACAAAATACTTATACAGCATCCCAACTTAATCTGCACAACCAACCTACAAGACAAGTGGCATCACTGTACCCATTATACAGATGAGGCAACCGGGACTTGGCGATATTAAGGGGCTTGATTATACTACAAAACAGGTAAAGAACCACCAGAGGAGCTGTGGAGAGGTGTGTGCACAAAAAGAGGAAGAACACACTGACCCCAGGCAACTTCCTTTGTGTGACAAGCTTCCCCACCTCCTCCACCACATCCTCCCTTCTCCTCCCAGGCTGTAGTCCTTGCACCTCCACCTCTCCAGCTTGTATGCCTTCTGCCACTATCTCTTATCGCTTGGATCCTGCCAGTTTCTGCCACACCTCTTCCCCCCGACCTTTGCTCCTCTATCCAGTCTTGTTTTCCTCTGGCCCAGCGTTCGTTGGGCTCACTTTCACTCACTGCCTGCCATTCCCAGCTGCCTGGTCATGTGTACGGGAAAGTGTGCCCGCTGTGTGGGGCTCTCCCTCATCCCCCTCTCCTTGGTTTGTATCGTGGCCAACGCTCTTCTGCTGGTGCCTAATGGGGAGACTACCTGGACCAAGAATCTCAGCTCGCATGTCTGGTACATGGCAGGTTTCATCGGAGGGGGCCTGATGGTGAGAAGGCTGGCTGGGGAGAATGGGGGTGGGAGGAGGGGTGGCGGTTCTGAGCTTGGGACGGGGAGAGAGGGGGAAAGACAGGTGCCCAAGAGAGAAGGTATGGCTTGATGGGGAGTCCCTCCCCACTGTCCTTCTACACATACACACACACACACACACACACACCCTGTGAACACTCTGTAGAATGTCCTGGAGCAGAGCCTTAAGGTCTTGAACTGAAAGTCTGAGTAGCCAAGGAGAGAGAGCATGTCCTACCTGTCCCCCATGTGGGAGGTTATCAGGGACGGACAAAGATGGACAGACATAGGGGTGGGGTGCAGTAAAAATATCTGGAGCCAGAGAGTGACATCACAGATCAGTCATGTCTCCCTATCAGCTCAGTGCCATCCTCCCTGCTCCATGTCTGTTCACCCCCACATTCACATTTGTGAATGTCTACTTTGTGCTCCAGAGCCCTGGGGTGTTGGAAACAGTTAACACAGTCAGCTGCTAACAGTTAACTGAAAGTTTGGAGGTTTGAATTTACACAGAGGAGCCTCTGGCAACCGATTCCTGAAAAATCAGTCATTGAAAACTCCATGGAGGGGAGTTCTACTCTGACATACATGGGGTCTCCATGAGTTGGAACCAACTGCACACAATTGTTAACTGTGTTAGGTATAAAGGATAAACTCAGAACCTAGGTTGGTAAGATGGAGAAGGTGCCCTCAAGTCTTCTCTGGAACTAGGACCTGTCAGAAGTAAGGGAAGGAGATATATAGATTTCCTGGACTTCTTAAACCTCCTCCTCAATTCCTTTCCATTGGTCCGTTTGGAACCATAGTGATCATGTAACAACAGAACCAAACACTGTTCAGCCCAGCACAATCCTCACAGCAGTCGTCATTAAGGGGAGCTTTTTGAAGATCAAGCTAGTTTAATACCTTCATGGTGGAAAGACAAAAGATCTACCCCGCACATATCCTTACAATTCTGCAGCAGAGTGTGAGAGGGGGTAGGAATGGTTGAGATTTGAGAAGGAGAGTTCTGTGAAAGTGAGTGAGTGTGTAGGTGTGAGGGGTGGGTGGATAGTGTGTCCTCATGGAGAGAGCTGAGAAAGTCCAGGTCAGCTATTCCTTCAGAACAGTTGCCTGAGGAACGTTCTGTAAGTGGAGTGTCACCTTCCTCCTTTTCACTGGTTACATCTCTACTAGAAAAAGGGAGTCCTGATATCACCTTACAGGATAAGCACTGGACTACTAACCACAAGGGCAGTGATTACATAAAGGGTTGCTATGAGTCGAGTCTGGACAAACTCAACAGTACTTAGCAACAACCACTGTCTCTCCTTTAATCAACTATCCTCTCTTACTCTGGGGACTCTTTTCTCCTGTTTCCCCTCTTGACTGGATTCATAGCTTTCAGACTCTACTCCATCCTCTGACCTCAGCTCTCTCACAGGGGCATACTACCCCTGCTCTACACACTCACCACTTCCACAGCACTCTCCTTCTCAAATTTCAACCATTCCTGTTCCCTTACACACTCTGCTGCAAAGCCTAACCATCCTGCTTCAGGGGTGAATGGCCTCCGGACATCATGGTTGTCTTTCCATTACTATGCCCAGAGTCACTCTTTTTTTTTTTTTTTTTTTTTTAAGTTTTTATTGTGAATTGGGTGATAGTTTACATGGGAGAGCATCAGTTTTACATTCATCCTATCGTATATCGTTTCATTCCAATGATTACAATCCCATCCATGTATCATCATTCAACAGCATTTGCTTCAGGAATATACAATCATTCAAACAACCAAAAGGCACACACTGCAAGCCTGCCCCCCCTCCCCAGATGTCAGCACACAGCCCCTCTCCCTCCCTGAATCCAAAGTCCCCATCTGTTCCATCTCTGATTCCCAGAGTCACTCTTGAGAAGGCATTCTCAAAATCCATTCCCACATCACTGTGCTTCACCACAAGGACACAGACAAAGCCCTTGCTATCCCTGAAGCTTGTGCTCCCATTAGCAAGACAAATAGTTTCAAGGCAGTAAGTGTGTGAGTAAGGCTGCTATGTAGTGTCTGGTGTTTGGGCCAACGAAAGCCTTGCATTTAAAAGGCACTCGATTAGTAGTCATTGAATGAATAAAGTCAGGCAAGATGATTTCATATAAGAGTAGGTACCATCCACAAAATAAAGCAAAGTGCTGTTTATAAAGAGCTCCTAGTGGTTGGAGGGAGGTTACTTTTTATAGCATTTTCCAGGATGGCTTCTGTGAGGTGTTGTCTTGACTGACATCAAGTGAAGGAAGAACATAGAGATTTGAGAGCCATTTAAAGAAAAGTTGAGGTTTGAGTTCTGGCTTGGTGTAGGAGAACTAAAGTTTTCTAGCCTGGGTGCCCTGAAGGATGGTATTTCCAATGATGAAGACAAGAAAGTCAAAGGGAAATGAATTTGGGGGAATATCATGTATTAGTATGAGCCTGGCTGAATATGAGGTAAAACTAAATCAGGAGGCATCCATTAAGAAGGCAGAGCCAATGGGAGGGGATGGGCTTTGTGAGGGAGGTTACATGGAGAAAGAGCAGAGGACCAGGAGCTGGAGTCCTGGTGTGGTGCTGTGAGTTGATGTGCTGGACTGCAAGATCGGTTTGAACCACAAGGTTGGTAGTTCAAGCTCATCAGTCACGTTTTGAATTGGAATGGACTTGAAGGCACTTAACAACAACAACACTCTGCATCAGAGCCTCCACTAACATTCTCCTCTATCCTATACCATAATCCCAACTCCTTACCAGATACTACAACACTTCTACCCTTTCCTTGCTTCTTACTGCTGGGGGAATTTAAGATGACTAAAGTGCTAGTGTGGCGCTGTGGGCTAATGCGTCAGACTGCAAAGTCGTTTGAACTTCAAGGTTGGTGGTTCAAGCTCTCCAACTTCTCCGTGGAAACCCTATACAGGGTCGCTATTGGTCGGGTTCGACTCGACAGCACTTTACAACAACAACAAACATTTACTCTGAGCAAGTCTTGACATCAAATCAACCTGTTATCTTACTAAATCCTGACAAGAGCCCTGTGAGGTAAGATTTGCAGACCCATTTTACATAGAGAAAACTGAGACCCAGAGAGATGAATCAATTCACGGAGTGTGAGGTAAGTGCAGTGTTGACATAAGAACATGGGCCTCCTGGGCCTCCAGACTCCCATTCACAACTTTCTACTGTTGTTGTTATTGTTAAGTGCCATTGAGTCAGTTCTGATTCATAGCAACCCTGTATAGGGTTTCCAAGGCTGTAAATCTTTGTGGGGGCAGAAAACCTTATCTTTCTCCCATGGATCGATTTGTGGTTCCCAGGCCAGTACTTATCCCACAGAGCTTCTGCACTCTCCTACCAGTGGCACATTTTATGGGGATAATGATATTGGACCCTACCCTCTAGGAGACCACAATCTGGACTGAGATAATATAGGTACATAAATAACTGTAGATTAGAGCCCAGCAGTACTCCAGGAGAAGTAGAGATAAGGTCTTCCTGTAGTCAGTCCAAAGGGAGTCCTGGAGTGGCCCTGCAGGTTACAGCACTGGATCGTGGTTCAAATTTACCATCCTCTTCTTGGAAACGCTATACAGGTCACTATGAGTCAGAACCGGCTTGATGGCACTCAACAACCCCACCATCATAATCCAAAGGAACCCTGGAGGCAATGTGACTAAGTGCTCAGCTGCTAACCAGAAGGTTATTGGTTTAAATCCACCAGTCACTCTGTGGGAGAAAGACGTGGCCATCTGCTTCATAAAGATTACAAGCTGTCCTGTAGGGTTGCTATGAGTTGGAATCAACTCATTGGCAATGGGTAGATAGGTAGGTAGGGATAGTTCAAAGACCAATCACTAAGGAAGGATATCATGTTTGGTAAAGTAAAGGGTTAGCAAAAATGAGGGAAACCCTCCATAAAATGGATTGGCTTGGTGGCTGAAACAATGGGTTCAAAGACATCATACCAAAGACTGCGAGGATGGCGCGTGGGACTGACCTGCATTTCATTCTGTTATACATAAGGTTGCCATGAATCAGAACCAACTGGACAACGACTAACAAGGACAGCATAGAGCACAGGGCTGAGAGAATTCCAAACAGCGTCCCAGAGGAGGGAAGGAACGATGGAGGTAAGGCCTTGAGGATCTGGGAGTGTGATCACACTGACTCTTCCCACAGGTCCTGTGTCCCGGAATCGCAGCCGTTCGGGCAGGCGGCAAAGGCTGTTGCGGTGCAGGCTGCTGTGGAAATCGCTGCAGGGTAAGATCCAACGTGAGGCAGGATTCAGGACTAAGGCTTTGAACTGACCTAAAGCCACCACCCCCTCTACAGAATACTAGCAATTGAAGTTCCTAGGCAGAACCCAAACTCCACCTCATTGTTCCCTCAAATTTGCAAATCTCAGGCCTGGTGGACAGACTAGAGGGGACTACAACTCCCACGAACCTTCATGGCCACTGGTAGTTAGAGTTACTCAACTCCAGGTCCCAGAGTTTGACAAGAAATTATTTTTACTGTGACTCAAGGAGACTGCAGTCATATTAGGGGTTATTGTTTTTAAGTGCCATTGGGTGCATTCTGGCTCAGAGAGATACTATATAGGGTTTCAGAGGAGTAGCTGGTAGGTTTGAACCACTGACTTTGTGGTTAGCAGTCCACTGCTTGTCCTACAATGCTACTATGAATAATTGTTGTTGTTATTAAATGCCATCATTGGTTAAGACTTATAATGACCCTGCCTCCATAGAGCTTCCAAGGAGTGGCTGGTGGGTTTGAACTGTCCAACTTGTGGTTAGCAGTCCAGTGCTTATCCTACAGCACCACACCAGATCTATGAAGGGTTGCTGTTGTTGTTGTTAAGTGCCTTTGAGTAGACTAGGATTAATTGGCCCATGATAAGGAAGAAGCAGACGTAATTTATACCACTTTCCACTCTGCATCCAGATGTTGCGCTCAGTCTTCTCCTCGGCTTTTGGGATGCTTGGTGCTATATACTGCCTTGGAGTATCTGGAGCCGGGCTCCGAAATGGACCTTACTGCTTCAGTAACAACACCTGGAGTAGCCCCTTCCAAGACTCTAAGTAAGACTTAGCCTGTGTTCACACCCCAACCATCCTCTGTCTCTGCCCACCTGCCCTTTTCATTTGAACCAGAATCTTGCCTGCACTCTCCATGTGGTCCCACCGATTCTTTCACAAACCCCATGCGCAAGTGTACGAGGGGTTAGCTGGTCAGGAAGAAGTCATCCCCACGTGACCGACTTTCTCACGTGACCTTGTCCTGCCCACAGTGGAGATTACTTGCTCAACCATACTCTATGGAGCCTGTGCCAAGAACCGCCTAACGTGGTCTGCTGGAATGTCACGCTCTTCTCCATGCTGGTGGCCGCCTCATGCCTGGAGATTGTGCTGTGCGGAGTGCAGCTGGTGAACGCCGCCATTGGTGTCTTCTGTGGCGATTGCAGGAAGAAGGAGGTTGGGTAGTGTGTGAAAGGGTGGTGGAGGGAATCATCTTGCTACTGGTGAGTTCTCACTTTCTCTTTTCTGCAGGGATCCCCTCACTGAAGCTCCACTGAACCACCATTGCTAGTTCCTGGACACTTGCCTGGCTCGACCTTGCCCTGGCCTCCTGGAATAAACTATTATGAGCTCTTTGCCTCGTCTCACAATACACCTTATGCGTGGAGTGCCTTCAGCTACACCTGGGTTTGGGACTCTCCTGTTTGAAGTGCTTGCACCCTGCTTTTTATGTTCCTAAATAACAAATAGTTACAGAGTCCTACATGTGTGCGGGAAATTCAGTGGTAAACAAGACTGAAGAGTGCTATGCTCTCAAAGAATTTAACATTCCAGAAGTAGGGAGAGGGCAATTTTTGAAAAAAACAATGGATTATTTCAGTTGATAATCTGTTCTTCTTAAAAATGCATTGGCGATAGGATAGTGAGGCTATCACTGATACTGGGGCTATGTTTTATAAGATAAGGAAAGCCTCACTGAAAAAGTGAATTTAAGCTGAAATCCCAGTTGAGTACCTAGGGGATTCCAGGTAGAGAGAACAGCAAGGTCAAAGGTCCTAGAGGGACAATTGGTGTTTAGAGAACTGGACTTTGTAGGGGGAGAAAAAAAAGGAAACTGGGAAAAAAATACTTTAATTTCTTAAACTCTAAAAAGAGTCCTGGTGTGGTGCTGTAGGATAAGCATTGGACCTTCAGGTCAGTTTGAACAGGGTGGCCATGAGTGAGAGCCGACTGGATGGCTTTTAATTAACCACTAAAAAATGAAGCCCTAAGACTATTCTGAAGTCCTGGTGTGGCACTGTTGGATAAGCCTGGACTGCTAACCCCAAGGTTGGCGGTTCAAACCCACCAGCCGCTCCTTGGAAACCAGGGTCCCCATGAGTCTTAACTGACTGGACAGCACTTGACAACCACAAGGCTTATTATTATAGCTTTGTTTTCTAATTTGGTATAAATCTAATTTGGGTCATTGGAGACCTGGTGTGGCACTGTGGGTTAATGCGCTGGACTGCAAAGTCGGTTTGAACTGACAGGTCGGCAGGTCAAGCTCACCAGCCACTCCTCAGAAACCCTATACAGGGTGGCTATGGGTTGGAACCGACTTGATGGCACATAACAACAACAGTGGTTCAGAAAGGAAATAACCTGAGCCCTTGAGGAGGGCAAAGGTGTTTGTAGAGGCTCTCAGAAAGTCAGGGACTTCCCTACTTTTAATGCAACATGGTATGCTTAAGGACCTTAAAGGGATCTGTAACTTTTAGCCATGGACACTTGACACCAAACCCGAATGTGGACCTGGTCCAACACTAGGTCAGAAAGGAAACAATGAGACGTGGTTTCCCACACCTAAAACAAGCAAGATCAAAGCCAAGACGGAAAAGCTTTAATAACTGGAGGTGGGACAAGCCTAAGAGCCACGAAGAGGGCAGCGATAGGGTCAGCTGTGGCAGCAGAATAAACGCACATCATTAAGTGCAGTATCATCTCGGAGGCCTCTAGGCTGTTCGATCTTGTTCTGCAAGCCGCACACGCCTTTGGGGCATGATCCGCTCCAGTCTCCAAACTCTCCCCAGGTCAGGCCTGGCCCCTCCAACTCCAACCCGTCTGAGCAGCGGAAGCGCACGTTATTCACGGCTGTGTTGTCCCCGGGAGTCACTGGTGCCTCCACGCGAAGCGAGAAGGCCACGAGGTAGCCACCGCCTGGGCACCACAGTGGTTCACTCCATGCGCCCCACCTGGGAGGGAAACGGGGACGTGCTAGCTCTGCGGATGCCCCCTACCCACCTCCAGACTACCCCACCCCTGTGAGTTCCCAACCAGAAACAGGACGACCTCGGTGGATTAGGCCTAATCACCTGACCGACACGGAGATGCGGAGGAAGGTCTACCATTTATTCTGCAAGACCTAAGGTGCCCAGCAAGGAGCTCTGGTAGCGTAGCTCTGGTAGCTAATCTCACGGTCAGCGGTTCGAAACTACCAGCTGTTCCGGGGGAGAAAGATGAGGCTTTCTGCTCCCGTAAGGATTTACAGTCCCGGAAACCCTGTACAGGGTCGCTGAGTCGGAACCGACTCCACGGCACATAACAACAACAAGGTGCCCAGCAGCTCTGAAAGTACCTGTCCCTTAAGGTATATTCCCACCTTAAGGGATACTTAGTTCCCATCCCCACCTTAAGGAATACTTGGTTCCAGCTCCCCGCTCCCGCTACACACTCACACCTTCCAGACTGGGACTCGACCACTTGCTTGTTGCGCTCCGAGTTCCCCCGCGAACAGTGTAGTCGGATCCCATTTAGAGCCGTGTCGTCGCCAGGAATGCCTTGGGGAGGCTCCACCTGGGAGAAGGGCAAGGAGGAGCCAAAGGACTGCCATCATAGATTCTGGGGTCTCCCACATCTCCACCCCTCCAGGACTCAGGTCTGGGTCCCCACCTTGAGTGAGAATCCGCTGGCGAAAAATCCGTCAGGGCACATATCGGGCCAGGTCCAGTCGCCCCAGGGGCCCCCGTTGGTCACCTCGATGACTGCCGTGAAGCCATTCTGCCCACCAGCTCGGGTCTGGCCACAGTGTATTGCCCACAGCACCAACAGCACCAGCAACTTGGTCTCCGCACACCGCTCCATCCCGCAGCCTCGGTGAGCCAGGCCCCTTCCTGCAGCTTTATACCACTCCCGCCCCAACAAAGGCTCCGATTGCGGAAGGAAGGGCCACCCGGATTAGATGACATCCAAAACTAATCCACTCCTGGAACCGCGCAGACTTAGTCCTCAGGTCTGAGCGGCCTAGGGGGAGGGCCAGACGATTTGAAAGAACCTGGTGTGGTGCTGCGGGTTATGTGTTGGACTGCAAGGTAGATTTGAACCGTAAGGTCGGCGGTTCAAGCTCACCAACTGCTCCTCCGAAACCCTATACAAAGGGTTGCTATGAGTCGAACGACTCGACGGTACTTAACACTATACGTTTACTGTACACCGGTGACTCCCGTGGAGTTAACCCGGTGGAGTTAAGACGGCGATTGCGTTTAGCGCGTTGCAGGTTTATTTTACTTAATTAACTCTCACGACAATTTTAGGAGGTAGGAATTAGCCTTTTTATTTTGCAGATGAGGTAACTGGGGCTCAAAAATGATGGGCAATCTGCGTAAAGTCACAGCAAGCCTCACGACATTCCAACACTGGGAAATGTGGAGTCCATGGCTAGATATGGTAGTGACCGCACAGGATGGGTGAAGGTCAACTCAAAAATCTACAGGATGCAGGATGCATCAGAGTGAGAGCACAGGAATCCACCAGTTGCCCAGCTGGATCTTTTTAGATACTGAAATCCTGAATCCTTAAGAATCTGAGACACTCTCTCCTCCCAACAGCAGAAAATAATATAGACTCAGAGAGAGAGAGGAACAATCTTAAGAAGTTATGGACATGGGCAGGTTCTGCCCTTGTTCTGTACCTACCACCTTTGTGGAATGCCTTTCCCCTCTTGGCCACCAGGTGGACTCCTAATTCACCTAAAAACAAAACCCTGGCTCAAATATTTCAGGGTCACCACCCCCTAATTTATCTGCCCCTCACACATGCTCAATCACTTATTCAATAATTACATATTAGTAATAATGCACTTCGGCCCAGGTAATATTCTAAGAACTAGAAATAGAGCAGCAATCAAGAAAAACAAGACCCCTGTCTTCACCAGGGCTCATGATAAATAAATTCTCCCTCAATTGGACCTTAGCTCTGAGGTAGCACTTTCATATTCTTGAAGCCTAGTAGAGCCTGGCATATGAAAGTAGTTAATAAAGGTTGGTTCCGTGAATACATTTTGAGGGTTCTTTTCGTTTTAAATAGTCACAAAAGTGTAAAAGCATATAAAACCTTAAGTAAATATTTGAGATCCTATCTGCAGATCAAGATAAAGTCCTCCTGGGAAAGGATAGAGACTTTACAAGTGGGTATTTCTGGATCGCAGGTGCCCCTTACTTGAACTCAATTGAAAAGATTTATAGAGTAATTGTGATAGATAAGCTTTTCCATTTACCGTATTTTCATATTATCATTTAATCCTCACATGAGGTTTTAGAAATCATCTAAATTTAAATCATCCTCAATTTACAGTGGAGAAAACTCGGGCCCAGAGTTCATCTAGAGCCCACACATTGCACAGTGGGGAGCTAGTTCTGACCCCAGTGTCTCTTCCAAATACCCAGGCTGCTTTTCACTGTAAGTTGGTCCTACAGGGAAGTAAAATGCAGAGACATGTCATTGTCACCCAATCCCTCAAATCCCCTTTATCCAGTCCCTCAGAGGGATAAGCTGCCCTCTGGGGCAAAGGGCAAAGAGCACAGGGGAGGGGGCCTTAAGAGTAAATTATTAACTCTTTGAGCCTCACAGCACCTTGATCTTCTCTCCCCTCAGGAAGGGTCAGGAATTGGCTCAGGGCAGGTGAGGGGGTGGTGGTCCCAGCACCAGCCATGGGGGTCACCGTGTGGCCCCTCTTCTCTAGGTGCAGGCTCTGCCAGACAGTTCCTCTTGCTATCTTCGCTCTCCTGCTTCTTTATCTCAGTGCTCGGAACCTCCGTGAGTGGCCCCTTTCCTCAGCTGATCAGGGAGGAACCCTCCCTAGGCCCTCAGGACCCACGTCCCCCCACCAATTCTCACTGCAGCACCTCGTCTTTTCCCAGGAGCGCTCTCAGGCTGCGAATCCGGGGCACAGTCCTGCACGCCCAAGGGATCATTGCCCTTCCAGGT